AGGGTAACAGCGGATTCTCAAGACGATGTACAGATGAACCTGTAGGCTCTGGCAGGTTCCATCATGCTGTGAAAGCTTCAAAAACATACTCGACTAATTGGAAGATGGAGCACTCACCAACCCGCCTGACTTGCCTGATGAGCTGTGTCTGTCTCATCGAAGATGAAATCACAACTAAAACCATGGCCTTCATTACTCTGAAGATGGATTGCCGTTGGTTAAGGCAGCAGCTGGTCAGACATTAAGGCAGAAGGTGCAATTATTACCCGAGTTACGAATTGGAACTGATACGATTTATTCAAACGCTGGCAATGTATAACTGCAGGTAACTTCTATGTGACTCAAGGCTTAAAGAACTAGAAGAAGAACTGAAGAAAATCAAGTGGGATATTGAATGACTCAGTAAAGTTATAAGAAATGAGGAGGGGTTGTTGGACAGTGCTGTACAAATGGATAGCACTTCAGAGAGGTGTACATAACTGGTACTGAGAGTTTCGGGGAAATGCATACTCCTGTATATGTGCTGATATCAAGAGATTGAAGGTTTTTCGGAAGAAGTAAAAGGAGTGCATGAACATGGAAAGATACATTACAAGTTCATCATATGTGACTTCAACACCAAGGTCGAATCGCAGGCAAGTAACTAATACCCCGTGGGTTGGTTTTGTTACGGCAAAGGTTGACCGACCATTGGAGTTTGCTAAAAGGAACCAAGTTATTTACTATAAGCACTTTTTTCAGAGAACGCTTGTCAAAAAGCTTTGACATTAAAAGACCTAAGTGACGTCTAGAATGAAATCGATTTCTTACTCTGGAACACGAAAACAGCAGTGCAGAAGGACACGGTGCTGAGCAGATTTAATGCAGGAACGACCACGGGCTCAGATGCTAGGTACGCCTGTACTTTTTAGAAAGAGGGGAATATTTGTGTTCAGCGAGTAAGATCCTCGATATGAAAGCAATAAAGAAGGACCTCCTGCTATTCCAGCTCAAATTAAATAACCGATTATACGTGCTTCACGGAATGCAAGAAGAAGCAGTGGAATCAGCGTAAATAAGACTGTTAAAGAAACGGCGGAAACCTCCTCAGAACAAAGATGATGAAGGATGATCAAAACGTTGCGAAGCAGATAATTGAACTGATGAAGAAACAACGAGATATACTTACAGCAACGGATCAAAAGTGAAAGATTGAACACGTGGAACTTTGCGAATACAGGAATACGTCGACTGGTAATGGAAATTATTGAAAATGGCCGGTGTGAAAAAATGTATTGACGATATGCGGTGAGGAAACAACAGATTTTAGCTCTCAAAGCAGAAGCAAGACCTTCACCACGGAAGAAAAATGATTTCAAAGAGAATGACAGATCTGTACAGAAAGCAACACGAAGATGAAATCAGCACTGTCGTAGGTGCCGATGACGAACTTGAAGATGAAATAATGTTGACGAAATTGTATGTTTTCCAGAAATGTGACATGCAATTAAGCAGGCGCAGTGAGGAAGAGTTTCTGGCGATGACGGCATTATGTTGAATTCCTAGAATCTTTTTGTGAACCAGTGACCAAAATGTTACCGTGAATATTTTGCACTCTCTTTGAAGCAACTGAAAATTCCAGACGATTTGACTACTGAATCAATGATTCTGCTCCACAAAAGGTGATAGAAAGTAAAAGACTACAGACAGATCAATTTGTGGCCAATCATTTACAAAATCTTCACTAAGGTATTGATGAACAGAATTCAAGAAAAACTAAATGCTGCACGACCCAAGGAGCTAGTAAGATTCAGAAGTGGATTTAGTACGAGAGATCGTCTTCAGATGGTACAACAATAAATTCATACAAACACTGAATATCAGCTTCCTTTCTGTCTGCGCTTTGCTGATTTCGTAAAGGCTTTCGACTCAGTCTACGTCAGTTCTGTACTTTATTCCTTGAGGAGCCAGAGAGTGGAGAAAAGCTTCCATCATCGCCATAATTTCAACAATGCTGTTGCTAGTATGACGCTTAAAAAAAGAACAAGTGAACTCAAAATTAAGAAGCTCGTCTGACAGTGAACTTGAAATTCTCACCTGTTCTACTGCTTCTCCGTTAATCTGAAGAGAGCAGCGAGCAGGAAAATGAGAGAACACTAGGCTTTTCGTTTTGGATGCGTTCACACGCATGCCTGTTATGCCACACTCGGCTGCGAACCCTTCTAGGGAGCACTGTAGGTAATTTTCAGAACATGCCAATAAAGCAAGGTTGTCTGCAAACAGCAACATTCTCAACTTCACATCTCCTGCACCGATACACTCATCGCCTTGGCTGTTGCTGAGTATTCTATGCACGTACAACACAAGCAGGAGACGGGAGAGGAAGTAGCCTTGGCGGAGACCAGTGCGTACATGAAAAGGCTTCGACTTAACGCCATTTACTCTAACGCAGCACCTGCTATTAGCATATAGTGATTGGATGGCCGTAGTAACTGACCATCGATCCCACGTGTTGGAAGGCATGCCCATAGGCTGCTGCGCAGGATCCGGTCATAGGCTTTCTCTAAGTCAACGAACCACATGCACACCGGATGGGCGAACTCTCATGATTTCTCAGCAGTCTGACGTAGAGCAAATGTGTGGTCAGAGATACTTCGACCGAACCGGAAGACACACTGCTCTTCATGTATCTTGAGGTCAGTTATTTTTCGGCATCTCCTTTATTGCACTTTTGCATGGACTTTGCCAGGGAGGCTCAATAATGCCCTGATAATAGAAGCACTCCCTGTTGTCTCTATTCTTGAATAGTGATACTGTAACTCCCGTTCTCCAGTACGCTGGTGTCTTTCCCGTAGTCACTGTAGTTTGACAAACACATGTAAGCCAGTAGATGACTTGTTTGCCTATTTCCATGAGCATTTCAGGGCGGATTTCATCAATTCCAGCAGCCTTTCCATTTTTCAAGCTTTTCATAGCTTGTGTAATTTCATGTACTGAAATTGTAATATCCGTTCCCTGCTGCTTTAGCACCTCGAGGTCGAGTTTTCTGGTAATAGAAAATTTGAGGAAGAGATCGACCGACGGATTGGAGTGGCCAGTGGCGTTCTGCGTGAAGTAGCCTGAAGCACTGTGGCTAAGGCAAAGCTGAGTCTGAAGAGTAAGCTCTCAATGTTCAAGTCGATCTTCCCACGCTTTCTTACGGTGCTATGGACCGTGACTGAAAAACTTCGATCCCCGATACAAGCGGCTAAAATGGGCTCTCTGAGACGAATCGCTCTCTTACGCGTCTTGACATGGTCCAGACTACAGAAGTCTGCGAGGACCTTTGTGTACAGCGACTACTTTTTCAGATTTAGAAGACACAGCTGCTATGGTTTGGGCATGTGTTGCATATGCCTTCAGAAAGAAAGGCGAAGCGACTAGTACTTGTCCAGCCGACCGGTGGAAGGTCCACAGGATTGCCAAGATTAACTTGGTGCAAATATATGTAAAGAGTCTGCTCTATGCTCTGATTGTCTTCTGCCGAAGCTCATACTATGGCGCGCTGGAAGATTAAGATATTTGACAGTGAGATGCAATATTTATTCACACCACCCGTTAAAAGGGCTTTCAAGACTCTCCGTTGGAAAAATCAAGGCAGAACATAAATGAGCAGTTCTTAATGTAGCTGCGGTTTGTGGATGGTATTCTGATCCTCTTGATTGTACTAGAAGAATTTCAAATGAGAATCCAAAAGCTGAACGACGACGGAATAAAAATGGAATTGAGAATGAACCTAGAGAGGAGCCAGGTCTTGTTTGACCGTGCGACCCGTTGAAGTCAACGGACTTGGTCTTTACGAAGTGATGCAAAACCACGTTTATTTGAAACAGCTAATCTCTGCAACCGTGAACCGATTATATGACATTAGCAGAAGAATAAAAGTGGCATGAAGCACGTGTGGAAGATTGATGGTGTTCTTATCCGGGGAACTGCCCTTGTGGTTGATGCAAAAATTTTTCGATCATTCTTACCAGTACTATTCTGTGGGTATAAATCTGACCATAAGACTAAAAGCCGTTCATAAACTGTAGATTTTCAATGCAGGATGGAAAGATATATGCTGGGAATAATAGTAAAAGACGGGAAAACTGATGAATTGGTAGAAGCACAGGCAAAAGTCTGCGCTGTCATTGACCTAGTGAAGAAATTAAAGTGACAGTGGACTTGACACGATGCAAACAAAACCCACTATCGCTAGACCAGAGCAACACTACGCTAGATTTTAAGAGAGAAAACAGCCAGTAGGAATGCCTCCAGATCGATAATGATGTGTTTCTGGTAATCTGCCGTTGAACTCTGTCTTACTGTAATGATGGTTTATTTTTACCTTTGTATGATAAGTTCAGAGCCACAGGAGATCTGCATTTAACATGAACAGGTTGGAAAGATTCAGTTTGTGCACATTCTGTTCCAT